TTGAGGCGGTCTCACTCTGTCGCCAGGCTGGAGTCTGCAGTGGCACGATCTCCGCTCACTGCAAGCTCCGCCTCCCGGGTTCCCGCCATTCCTCCTGCCTCAGCTCCCGAGTAGCTGGACTACAGCGCCGCCACCACGCCCGGCTAGTTTTTTTTTTTGTATTTTAGTACAGACGGGGTTTCACGTGGTTAGCACAGGCTTTCTTGGTCTGGAAGAGATACGGCCTCACTATGTTGTCCAGGCAGGTCTCAAACTCCCGGCCTCAAAGCGATCCTCCTATTTCAGCCTGCTAAAGTGTATTACAGGCGTGAGTCATTGCACTCAGCCCGTTTTTTAAGTAACAGCTTGAATTACATAGTCCATGTATACATCCACATAACTCACAATTTAAAATATGAAATTCAATGGTTTTTAGCAAGCTCACAGAATTGAGGATCACCATAATCGATTTTAGAACACTTTCATCACCCAAAAAGAAACCCCATGCCCATCAACAGCCACGTGCCATTTCCCCATGTGTGCCCATATCCCTAGACAACCGCTTATTTGTTGCCTCTACAGATTTGCCTATTCTGGACATGTCTTTTTTTTTTTGAGATGGAATCTCACTCTGTTGCCTAGGCTGGAGTGTGGTGGTGTGAACTTGGCTCACTACAACCTCTGCCTCCCGGGTTCAAGCGATTCTCCTGCCACAGCCTTCTGAGTAGCTGGGAATACAGGCGTGTGCCACAACGCCTGGCTAATTTTTGAATTTTTAGTAGAAATGGGGAATTCACCTATTCTGGACATTTCATAAAAATGGAATCATGTGAGTTTTTTGTGCCTGGCTTCTACCACTTAGCATGTTTCAAGTTCATCTATGTTGTAGCACCAATCAGTGTTTCACTCCTTTTTTTTTTTTTTTTTGAGACAGAGTCTCGCTCTGCCGCCCAGGCTGGAGTGCAGTGGTGTGATCTTGGCTCACTGCAAGCTCCGCCTCCCGGGTTCACGCCATTCTCCTGCCTCAGCCTCCCGAGCAGCTGGGACTACAGGCGCCCGCCACCTTGCCCGGCTAGTTTTTTTGTATTTTTTAGTAGAGACGGGGTTTCACCGTGTCAGCTAGGATGGTCTCGATCTCCTGACCTCGTGATCCACCCATCTCGGCCTCCCAAAGTGCTGGGATTACAGGCTTGAGCCACCGCGCCCGGCCGTTTCACTCCTTTCTACTGCTGAATAGTACTTCACGTATGGCTATATCACATTAATTCATTCATCAGTTGATAGGCATTTGGTTTATTACCGCTATTTGGACATAATTAATAATGCTGCTGTGAACATTTACATACAAGTGTTTATATGGACATGGCTTCATTTCTCACTATTAAGGAATGAAATTGCTGAGTCATATGGTAACTCTACATCAAACCTTTGAGAAACTGCCATATGGTTTTCCATAGTGGCTGCACATTTTACATTCCTACCAACACCATATGACAGTTCCAATTTCCTCAGTCACATCCTTGCCAACATTTATTACCTGTTTTTTGGTTTTGGAGAAGGAGTTTCGCTGTTGCCCAGGCCGGAGTGCAATGGCGCAATCTCAGCTCACCGCAACCTCTGCCTCCTGGGTTCAAGCGATTCTCCTGCCTCAGCCTCCAGAGTACCTGAGATTACAGGCACGTGCCACTATGCCTGGCTAATTTTGTATCTTTAGTAGAGATGGGGTTTCTCTGTGGTCAGGCTGGTCTCAAACTCCCGACCTCAGGTAATCTGCCTGCCTCTGCCTCCCAAAGTGTTGGGATTACAGGTGTGAGCCACCGTGCCTGGCCTTATCTGTTTTGTTTTTTTTTTCTTTTTTAAATGAAGGCCAACTTTGTGGGTATAAAGTGATATCTCATATTTTTTTTTCCTGACACGGAGTCGTGCTCTGTCATCCAGGCTGGAGTGCAGTGGCGCAATCTTGGCTCACAGCAACCTCTGCTTCCCAGGTTCAAGCAATTCTCCACCTCAGCCTCCTGAGTAGCTGGGATTACAGGTGCCTGTCACCATGCCTGGCTAATTTTTACATTTTTAGTAGAGATGGGGTTTCACCATGTTGGCCAGGCTGGTCTCAAACTCCTGACTTCAAGTGATCCACCTGCCTTGGTCTCCCAAAGTGTTGGAATTACAAGTGTGAGCCACCACGCCAGGCCTATCTCATACTAACGATTTGCATTTCCCTGACAGCTTGTGAGCATCTTTTGATGGTTTAATGGCCATTTGTGTATTTCTTCGGAGAAAAGCTTTAAGTCTTTGCCTTTTTAAATTGGTTATTTTCTTTTATTTATTTTATTTATTTATTTATTTTTGACCAAAGTCTTGCTTGTCACCCAGGGTAGACTGCAGTGACACGCATTCTCGGGCACTGCAACTCCGCTTCCCGGGTTCAAGCAATTCTCTGCCTCAGCCTCCGGTAGCTGGGATTACAGGCGCCCGCCACCATGTCTGGCGTAATTTTTTTGTATTTTTAGTAGAGGATGGGTTTCCGCACGGTTGTGCAGGCGCTGTCTTGAACTTCAACTCCGCGGATCCACCTCCCGCCTCAGCGCTTCTAAGAGTGCTGGGATTATGGGCATGCAGCCCACCGCACCTGCTCGCTCTCTCTTTTTTTTTTTTTTTTTTTTTGAATGTGAGTCTCTGACTGTCCCAGGCTGGAGTGCAGTGGCAGTGATCTTGCTCACTGCAAGTTCCGGCCTCCGGTGTTCGGCCCTTCTCCTGCCTCAGCCTCCCGTGTAGCTGGGGACTACAGGGCACCCACCACAATGCCCAGCTATTTTTTTTTGTATTTTAGTAGAGACAGAGTTTCACTGTGTTAGCCAGAATAGTCTCGATCTCCTGACCTCATGATCCACCCGCCTCGGCCTCCCAAAGTGCTGGGATTACAGACGTGAGCCACTGCACCCGGCCTCGGCCTTCTCTTTTTATTAAGAGTTCTTCATATATTCTGAGAATATAAATTGTGTTACATCCAGACAATGGAATATTATTTAGCACTAAGAAGAAATGAGCTATCAAGCCATGACAAGACATAGAAGAGGCCGGGCATGGTGGCTCACGCCTGTAATCCCAGCACTTTGGGAGGCCGAGGCGGGCGGATCACGAGGTCAGGAGACTGA